TGACCTTGAAATTAATTTTTAACTTGACTATCTTACAAAGATTTATCAACCAAACCTATTTAAAGTGTGTCTCATCTAATTAGTGTGTGTTTAAATTTTAAATCAGCTTAGTTGAGTGATCTGAAATATTGAAGATGAAGAGTTGTTTTTAAATAATACGTTATTGGATGAAGTTGCTCAAAGTTACACAATTCCCTTCATTTTAAGATTTTGGAATAATCTCACCTTTGCACTCCATCTTCTTTCATCGGTCCTTGATCAATTGATGTCATACTTTACATGTTATTCTCTTTTCTTTGCAAAACATTAAACCATAAATCCCACCATTCACAAATCGTTTCCAAGCGGTCTCACATATTATTTTTCTTTTTTCTTCCTAAAAGTTTTCTCTTTTAATTTTTATCATCTTAACTCTTTTATTTCCTTTTTTGTCTTCTTATTTGATTTCTTTTCCATTACTTTCCATTCTATACTATGTACAATTGTATTAGTTATCTTTGTATTTGTGAAATAATAGATTAGTTATTTAACCATATCAACTTTGTATATGAGGCTGGAAGCCTAATGTAATACAAAAACCCAACCCTTAGACATTACATATGCAAAGGCTAAGCTTCTATAACCCTAATGATTGAACAATTAACGAAGGCATTGCTATCATGGTTTGTTCCAGCGAGCTGATAGCCCCACTTTCTCTGTAGCATATTGAATACCCGATCTGTAACTGTAACACCCCGACCTTACGGGACATGTGTTATTATTCCTAGATACTCTCCAGACCTTTAGTACTATCCTCACAAACCAACACAAACATTTACAGCGCACTTTTTCCTCACTCGTGAGTGCCCTGAGAAACTTCTCAGGAGCTCATCTATCCCAAGACTACTCCCATGCAAACACGCTTAATTTGGAGTTCTTAGGAGATGAGCTCCGTAAAAGGAGATGCACCTTGTCGAATTGATATGAGTATTACAATTAATCCTCTTAAGTCAATCTCAAGTATTACAATCACTATTTACGAACGCAACGTCCTCGTTGCGCCCGATATCCAACGCATCAACACACTGTCGCAAGATTGCTCTGATACCACCTGTAACACCCTGACAACACGGCAGCATGCCTCGAATAGTTTCTCCTATATACTCTCCAGACCTCTAGCACTATCCTCACAAGCCAATTCAGTCCCTTGCCACACACTTTCCTTACTCGTGCGTGCCCTTCTCAAGACTACTTTTGTGTAAGAACGCTTAACTTGGAGATGCACCTTGTTGACAATCCTCTGCTCAGAGAGAACAATCACATTGATGGTGTTAGATTGCAATGAAGAGTCGGCGTGAGAACATTTGCGTGTTGGGAGAAAGGAAGAACATGAATCTCCCCGGCTTGGCCATGGATATGCTGACATTGACAGAGAAAGACAAGAAGGACATCCTCAGATGGGGAGTTCCTAATATGATTGACATCATTGCTCTGTCATTTGTCCGTAGGGTCTGATGTTATGACGGTGAAGCATTTGCTTGGGGAGCACGCCAAGAACATTGTGATCATGTCAAAAGTTGAGAATCAGAAAGGGGCTAATAATTTGGATGGGATCCTGGAGAATTCGAATGGTTTCATGGTGGTCAGGGGTGATATGGGGATGGAAATTCCAATGGAGAAGATATTTCTTGCGCATAAAGTAATGATTCACAAGTGTAACGTGGCCGGCAAGGTAGTTGTCACAGTGACACAAATATTAGAATTAATGACCAAATACACACGCCCCACGCGCGCTGAGGCTACAAATGTTGCAAACGTCGTGTTAGACCGAACTGATTATGTCATGCTCAGTAACAAGACGGTGCTCGGCGCGTACCTGGAAGCTATGTTGTAAAAACCGGACCGGAGAGCGACCCAGCCGAAGGACTGGGTCACGGGTCAACCCGGGCCCGGCGGGTCAACCCGGTCAAACCCAGAAAACCCGATCAACATATAAATAAACTTATTATTCTAACACATACATACTTTAATAAAATATAAAATTTATTTTAAATTACATGGACAATAAATATGAATATGATGTGTATTAAAAATATATATTATATATATACTTTCATTTACAATAATAGCAATGGTACATACTGATGATGATGTTATAATTTTATCCTGATTATTAATTACAATGTAGAAGTCTCTTAAAAAAATATTAGTACAAAGTTGGGGCAAGCTAATCATGTATTGACGTATATTATATGTGTTATATACGGTTATAGAACGATACTATCAAACATGTCAAAGGCAGCTTGATGGATTGAGGCGTGGCCTGTCTCCCGGGATACCAAGGTTCGATTCCATGCGCCTTCACATTTTGTGTTTACTTCCGGGTTTTCCACAGTTTCCGGGTTTAGGCCGTCCCCGGTTACGGGCCGGGCTAGGCGGGCCAACGGTTAATTCTGAGTTTAAACACATTAGCGGGTTGAGCTTTGACCGGACCAAATTGGGCTTCGGGTGACCGGGTTTCGGGTCGACCCGGCCGGTCCGGTTCGAGTTTTAAAACATAGCCTGGAAGAGGCCGTGAGAACCATGACTAATATCTGCTATGAAGCTGAAAAGTGCATCAATCATCAGGTGGTTTTAAACAAGGCTTTGGAAAACTCATCGGCGCCAATGAGTCCACAGGAAAGCTTGGCTTGCTCTACTGTGGAGGCATCGAGTTCTATTCAATATGATCTAATTGTTGTATTCTCCGATGATGGTGACACAGCCAAATTGGTGTCAAAGTATAGACCTGACATGCCGATTTTGTCAGTGGTGAGCTCCGATGATGCTCCGGTGGGATATTACCGATTTCTAGCACAGAATTGAAAATATTCAACATGATTGTGAATGTTGGCGATGTGGCAGAGCCAACCTTTGGATACACAAAGGAGAATCAGCTCTGCCGTGCCGGTGACATTGTTGTGGCGCTATGCCTCGTAGGGATAGCAGCGCCACAACATGATAGAGATATTACCGTTAACTAGCTGGGAAAAGTGACAATTGTTGAAAAGTTTTGATCTTGTTACCTTTTGATTTGTTTTTTCTCATTAGTTTAATCAACAAAATACACTAAAAATATTGGCATGTTATCCCAAATTTAAACTCCAGCAATTAATTAGATTGTTTTTCGCCTAAAAAGGAGTAGTACAATTAATTCTTTTAACCCAATATCAAGTATTACAGTAACTTCTCAATCATCTTTATCATATTCAATATTCCATTCAATACTCTCATTGCTCCCTGTTATTCCATTAAATTATTTGATTGTCGTGATATTTGAAACTCACAAATTGGTATCAGAGCGAGAGCCGGAAGGGTTGTTGTGGTTAAACACCTTAATGACATGTGGACTCTACAGTAGCTTGAAAATGTTGTTCGGGGGGACTCAACGCTGATTACTAAGCCAAAGGTACTTGTTCCTAAATGAATTTCATTTTGATTGCATACTCTTAATGCATGAAGAAAATCATGTAATGATTTTACTTCTTGGCCATGCTTGTTAAAATCGAGGTCAATCCCTTGGGCCACTTTTAAATATGACAAAAAGTTGTCAACAATGGAATATAATTCAAATTTAACTTGAAGACACTCTAATACCTTTACAATGACTATCCTCATTGAAATGAAATCGACGTCAACCGAATTAAGTTGCACAGTTTGTTGTATCATTGTGATAAAAAAAATCACCTTCTTCTAAAATGTTTGCTGAATAGTCAATCCGTTCAACATATATGAACCTAATACAATTCATTCATGTTTCCTAGACTTCTCGCAAACTCTTCAATTTCTCAAAAATATACTTTCTTCTTGTTGTATCTCGTTTCCAGCTCAGGTCTCCACAAGAATTCACCCACAAAGGGTGAAGAACACTACTAAGATCACAAAGGGAGGATTGGGCAACAACCTCAATGTTCAACTTCTGCCAATTAACCTTAATTCGTCCACAAAGGAGAAGAAAACAGTGGAATAGGGTTCGGCCGACCTCAATGAAGGAGAAGGAGGAAGAATATATAGGCAAGGCTATAAACTCAGGATGGAAACTTACCTTACTTGTTCAGATACGCATTGAATCGGCCAAGGAAGAAAAAAAACTCTTGCCAGAAGGAAAGTAAACGAGAAGGAGGAAGCCATCAACCGAGAGTTCAACCAAAAGGAACGGGCCGGGTACAAATGGACTAATTTTGGGCTTATGAAGTGAACCGGGCCAATACCAACAAATTCTCCACCTTATTGGACCCTAGTAGTGTAGAACATTACGCTCTAAAACAATTTGAGACTCATCATCGCTGGATTGCCCGAATAATCACAAAGACATATTCAGGCAAAAGGGGTAAGATCACCAGGCAACTTATCTGCAATCAATGTTTAACGTGCGTTTGCACGACAGCAACTTTTCGACAGAGAGACATTTAGTCCCCATGTCAGCAGGATTAAATTCCGAAGGAATTTTAATCAACTTGATATGACCTGCACTCACAATATCACGTATAAAATGAAATCTAACATCAATGTGCTTAGTTCTATCATGAAAAACAGGGTTTTTACATAATTGAATAGCAGATTGACTATCAGAAAACACACAAATGTCCTGCTTAAGACTACCAATCTCTGTTAGGAGACGTTTAAGCCAAATGGCTTCCTTAAACGCTTCGGTAGCGGCCACATACACTACTAGAAAAAAAGACATTTGCTGCGGTCGTTTTGACCCATTTGCTGCGGTTCACGCCCGCAGCAATAGCGGGAGCAGCAAAATCCAAAAAGTGCTATTTGCGGCGGTCGTACCCGCAGCAACAAAGTGCCCGGATTTTTTTTAAAAAATACACTTTTTGCTGCGGTTCCTTAACAACCGCAGCAAATACATATGCCAAATTAACTGTTTTTGCGGCGGTCTTGTACAACCGCAGCAATAAGTGTTCAAAAAATGTGCATCTTATGTGCACATTATTCTCTTTTAACGGACATTTTCAATCAATCCAAATATCAATCAAAATATCAATCCAAATATCAATCCAAATATCAATCCAAATCAATCCAAATATCACATAACAAAAAAAAGTTAACTAAAAGTTATATCGTTAATACATTTTCGATCTAATATAGAGTTTACAACAAATTGTCACAAACATATATCGCCCATCTATCACGAATTTCATCAATTTCTGTCATTGAAAGCGCCTCATCTCGTAAGGTGCTTTTGTACACCTACAAAATAAAGCATTTCTAATTAGTACAACTACGATTTGGAATATAATTTCATAAAAATAACCCTTTCACATTATAACTAAAACATTTCTCATAAATAAATATATATATATTTCTTTTATGCAATTCAATAAACTTTGTTTCCTTCTATATATATGAATTGATGCACTTTTCGAAAAGTGCATCAAATAAGGTTTATTCGAAAGTGCATCGGATACGGGTTATTGTGCATCAGATCGACACTTTGGACGGTTGAGATTAATTCTCATTTTACACGTTAAAATGTCCTCTCATTTGAACGCATCCCCTATATATATATATGTATATATATATATATATATATATATATATATATATATATATATATATACCCATGAAAACATACCTGCTCTAAATCTTGACCTTCATTGATACTTCTACTCAGATCATAAATGAATCTCATCATATAATATCCACACTCCAAGCCGCCCGTTTGTTTTGCGCACTGAAAAATTGTACACAAAATATACTTTATATTCATATTACTCACTACTAAGTTAAATGACTTAGAAACTATAGTAAAATATTTAGTGAAACGTTATATATACTTATTATACCTTCATCTGTTTCCAAATGATCTTTTTCACCTTTTCACTTCCATGGGCACAAATATTTCGAAAAACACTATTATGAAACATTCAAAGTTAGAACATAATTTTGATGAAAAACATAGTTAATGCATTAACAATTCTCATGTTTGCGAAAAAACATTTTTTAAAATTACCTGCTGAACAATGACATGATTAATAAATGACGCATCGGGCTAGTTCGAAGAGAATCATACATAAAGATCATGCCACGTGAGATCCAAATCACAAGCAACACCCAGTGATGACTACATGAGTAATTAGCGATTTGCGTTATGTAGTAGCTAGAAAAACATATTTGTATATCATCCATATTATATCTATGTAATGAACTTAATATAAGTAGATAAATGCATACCTTTCATAATAAGGAGCAACAAGAATATCTATGTCGGCATTCTGGCATTCAGTGATTGCTCGATTTATGTAAACTTTCACATCTTCAGGGTTATTTTCACATGCTGTTGAAGAAATTGATTCAGGACACATCCATCCAATCTGTGCAAATGTATCCAGACCCTGTAGATAATCTTGCATTTCTCTGCAAAAGCATTGAGTTTAATTCCTAACACAAATTAAATAATATAGTAATAACTCATACACTTTGAAGATCTTACATTACAAATACTTGAATAATGGAAATGTTAATCATTGCACCAGACAGAAACTGACTGATATCCTCAATAGTAAGAAGTGCATGACTATCATCAGATTCATAATGGAACATAGAAGCATCTAGTGTAATAACAATGGGATCATCACTAGATCGGGATGCTATCATCGAGTGCAACCATTTGCAATCTCTAGTAAGTGACAATAGAACCTTTTCAGACACTAGAGATCTTTGTATGGTTGGTTTTTTATGGATGTCCAACTTCTTCTTTCCCTTCGTTGAGTTAGTACTCATCACCTACAGATAATAACATACCAAATACCTCAACAAAAATTTTCATGAATTTTATTTTTTTTGGTAAAAAAGGTAAATATATATTAAATGCCAAAATTAGATTACAACATTTAGAGGGGCATTCCCCAATCAAAGAAGCAACTATACTACAGTTTCAAAAAGACAACAACATCAAACAACTCTCTCACAGTAATACATCACTAACACCAGGTCACTCAAATTTCATAGCAACTGAGAAATAGAAAAAGGAGAATCAAAACTCAATCATACTTACGGGGTAAAGTCTAAAAATAGATAAAAATTATAGATAATACTCCCATCCATGGATATCTTTTCTGTTTGGCTTTATCTTGATCCTCCCAATTGGTCAAACCATCACCACCTCCAGGTAATAATTAATCACACCAACAATTCATTATTCTTCTAAAAAAACTTACTTTAATTTATTCTTCTTCTTCATCTTTTCTTTTAATATGCTTTCATTCATTTCCCAACTTTTGATTCAATCACTTTTTGTTTTGTTTTTTGTTGAAAGAGCAGCAAGGAGATGGGGTTGATGGAGCAACTGGGAGATGGGGTTGATTATTTGTTTGTTGGTTCACATAATACGTACTCTTCAACCATTCATTTTGATTGATTTATATTGTCTTTCATCTAATAAGAGAATGAGGAACCACAAGTTTCTTGTTGGGTATACAGCTTTGAGTAAAAATGTAAAATAATTCAACACAACATCGCATTGTTTTGTTGATTCAGCTATCAACACAACTCTTAGAGCCAAATTATAACTAGAGTGGGCCATGTTACAAGGGACAGATAGTATATAATTCACTGGCATGTAGTCAACTAGCCTAATGCATAAAAAAATAGAAATCATTCTTGTGAATCTTCTGTTTCTCCACGTTTGCCCAAAATTAACACTTACACATTTAGCCTCCAGTTGTTACAATGTTTTATTTTGATTCAATGCCCACTTTATATTTTTTTAAACCAAAAAAATAATGAAGAATACACTTTCATAATTATAAATTCAGTTTTGACATTAGCACAAACAGGTACTGTGCACAAGCTAGCAATTGAGAAGGAAATGATACACACGAATGAGTACGAAGGAAGCACAAACCTCAATTTATGAAAACATAACATCAAATCTACCAATAATTTCACAGAAATAATAACCTAAAAATTGATAAAATTCAATAAATTGAATGATATGACAAATGGTTAGAAAACTAAACCTCTATTGAGCAAACAAGGTCCAAGTACGGTGACTCTACTGGAAAGGGGGCGGCGAAGTGTGGCGTGGTGTAAAGGGACGGTCGCGGCTGAGAGTGGCAGACGGACGGCTGCTGAAGGAGGCCCGGCGACTCTGCCGGACCTGCGGAGGGGCTCTCCTACACCGACACCGGCCTGCAGTTGGAACGATGGAGACGGCTGGAACGATGGAGACGGCTGGAACGATGCCAACGTGCGGCTGAATAAGGTAAGGGTAAAGGTTATACGAAGTACATTTTTATTTTTAAGTCTAAGGGTTTGTTTTGTTTGAAAGAAAAGCCAATGTAAAGGTTATACGAAGTACATTTTTTATTTTTAAGGCTTATTGCTGCGGTTACGACATAAAAATTTATTTTTGAATTTTGTTTAATTCGAACCAGGGCAATTTTTCAGTGCAATTGCTGCGGTTGCGATTGACCCGCCGCAAATACATAAAAATCTTGTGTTATTGCTGCGGTTGTGCTAATGACCGCAGCAAAAGGGGTGCAGCAATTGACGAAAAATCTAGTAGTGATACTCCGACTCAGTGGTGGATAGGGCAACTATGGGTTGAAGTTGAGATTTCCAACTAATGCACGACCCACAAAGAGTAAACACATAAGAGGTAGTGGATTTCCTATTGTCTCTAGCATTAGCAAAATTAGAATCCACATACCCACTCAACTTAACCCCCTCAGAACACCTAGTGAAAACCAACCCATGATTAACAGAAGATTTCAAATACCTAAGCAACCACTTAAGAGCATTCCAATGATCTAAACCAGGATTAGACATATACCTACTCAAGCAACTAACAGCATAGGCAATGTCGGATCTAGTGCTCACCATGAGATACATCACGGACCCAATAGCATTGGAATAAGGCACAGATTTCATTTTAGCAATTTCAGGAGCAGTCTTAGGAGACTGATTCTTACTTAACACAAAGTGAGACGCCATCGGGATAGAAACGGGAGTAGCAGAATGCATGTTATATTTACTCAAAATCTTTTCAATGTATGAAATCTGATTGAGAACTAACACACGCTTACTCCTATCCCTAACAATGTTAATCCCTAGGATCCTTTTGGCATCACCTAGGTCTTTCATAGCAAAGTTCTCACTAAGACGCTTTTGCACACATTTAATGGCGTCACCCGAAGGACTAATAATCAACATGTCATCCACATATAGCAATAAAAATACAGGCACAGAAGAAGTATTTTTAAAGTATAGGGAATGGTCGCATTCGGACTTGTGAAATTTCAAAGATGACATGCACTGGTCAAATTTGATATTCCACTGCCTCGGGGACTGCTTCAGGCCGTACAAGGCCTTCCTAAGCAAACACACATGATCACTCTTCATGGGATCCACAAAGCCCTCAGGCTGGGACATATAGATTTTCTTGTCCATTTGCTTCATTTCCCAATCATTATGAGCAACAAGAGCAAACATCATACGAATCGTAGTAAATTTAACTACAGGAGCAAAGATTTCAGCATAATCAATACCTTCCTTTTGAGTAAATCCCTCAGCTACTAACCTAGCCTTATATCTAATGTCGTTAGGCTCTTCCTTAACCTTAAATAGCCACTTACAGGCAACAACGGAACTATTGGGCAGTCTATTAGGAACTAACGTCCAAGTCTTATTCGCTCTAAGTGACTCCATCTCACTTTCCATGGCGCAAAGCCATTTAGCGGACTCATTAGACTTAAGGGCCTCTCTATAGGTTCTAGGTTCGTTAAGCTCAAGGGTCTCAAACACAGAGAAATCAAACATAGAAGTATCACACATATGGAAAGCATAATCAGGCATACTATCAGCAGTTCTCCTAATTACTCTCCTACTTCTATCTCTAGCAAGTTGATAATCATGCAAATCATTCTCACTAGCATCCGCACTCTCATCATGCGATTCATTGTCATTTGAATGCATATGAGAATGCTCCACCTCACTCGAAGTGGTGGTAGTATCATGCTCAGAAGAATCAGAATCATGCAATTCAGAAGAATTAGAATCATGCAAAACAACATTATCATGATTAGCAAACAAAGGGCTAGCAGCACGTGGTATGGACTCCACCTCAACGGGTGTACTACTAGGATCAGACTCAGAATCAGGAACTGACTTAACCAGACAAGGAAACTCGAATTCATTGAAAACAACGTTTCTACTCACCACAACTTTGAAACCTACCTGGTTCCTATCCCAAACCCTATACCCCTTCACACCCTCGGGATAACCTAGGAAGACTCCTTTCTTAGACCTAGGATCCAACTTGTCACCTTGTTGGTGCACATACGCTGCACACCCAAACACTCTAAGATTAGACAAATCAAGGGGTTTGTTTGAAAAAACAGATTCAGGGCACTTCCCACCCAAGGGAACAGAAGGAGACCGGTTAATCAAGTAGACAGCAGTGTTAACTGCTTCACCCCAAAATTTTTTAGACAAACCGGCGGTGGCAAGCATACTCCTAACCTTATCTAGAACAGTCCTATTCATCCTCTCGGCTATCCCATTTTGTTGGGGAGTATAGGGCACAGTTTTGTGCCTTCTAATCCCACAATCAACACACAGTTGGTCCATATCCTTATTGCAAAACTCTAGACCATTATCTGTCCTAAGGGTTTTGACCTTCTTACCAGTTTGATTTTCTACAAGGTTTTTCCACTCCCTAAACTTCACAAAGACATCGGACTTATGCTCAAGGAGACGGACCCACACCTTCCTAGAAAAATCATCAATGATGGACAGAAAATATCTCTTACCCCCGTGGGTAGAGACACTAGCAGGACCCCACACATCAGCATGAACATACTCTAACACAGAGGTACACTTAGTGGGATTAGGATATGGGGAGGAGGGGAATGTAACCTTATGCTGCTTGCCTAACACACAAGATTCACAGAAGGGGATGGGGGACACAGAATCCTTACCAAAACAACCAGATTTATGCAAAATCTCTAAACCCCTATTACTCATGTGTCCTAATCTATTATGCCACAAAGCAGATTTATCAGAACTAACAACATGAGCAGAATCACAGAAAGGCTGAGCATGGCACACATACAAGTTATTCACCTTTTTTGCCTTAAACAAAACAAGGGAATTTTTAAAAACTTTCATGCACCCATTACCCCATTTACCCTCTACCCACTACCCTCAAAAGCAGCAACAGAAAATAAGTTATGACGCAAATCAGGAACATTCCTCACATTTTTCATAGTAAACACAGTCCCATTATCAAACTTCAAGCATACATCACCCACCCCATGAATTTTGCATTTCTTATTATCAGCAAGAGACACAAAACCATCATTGCAAGAATCATAAGAAGAAAACAGGGATCTAAAAGGTGTCATATGATAAGTACAACCAGAGTCAATCAACCACTCATTTTCAGTCATGCTACTCAACACAGAATTGGCAGAATCACAAATCATTAAAACTTCTTCATGCAAGTTATTATCATCTACCACATTAGCATGTTCAGACTTCTTAGGATGGGGACAATCCTTAATGAAGTGACTAGAATTGCCACAATTATAGCACACTCTCTTCTTAGACTTACCTCTCTTCTTCCCCGGGTCATTGTTTTTGTTCTTATCGTTGTTGCCCTTCTTATGGTTTCTAGATCTACTCTTAGACCTACCCCTCACAAACAACGCTTCACCTGAGTCCCTAGACTGACTGTTACTACCCCTCGAGTGTCTAAGGTCTAACTCCTTACTCCTTAATCCATTAATGACTACATCCAACGAGATATCATCCCTACCATACTTTATGGCAGATTTGACGTCATTGTATGAGTCAGGGATGGCATTAAGTAACACTATGGGTGTGTAGTCATCTATGTGTTTATCACCGGCTTGCTTAATATTCTGAATAAGCTTGTTAAACACATCTAGGTTCTCATCTATGTCCTTAGACAGGTCAAGCCTAAATCTAAAGAACTTCTCAAGCAAAAACAATTTACCAGGCAAAGAAGTATCGGTATACGTCTTATCTAACATGTCCCACAAAGCCTTTGCAGAATCTATAATACCCACCTTCCTGAGTACTGAATCAGAAAGGTTCAGGTATATAGAGGAACAAGCAGTTTCATTCATTTCATCGCGCTTAGCAGCATCCTCAGAGTCTAAATAGAGACCAGTCACTGCTCTATAGACTTTCTGTTGGATCAACACGCATTTGATTTTCTGTTTCCAGATATCAAAATCTGTCTTTCCGTTAAATGGAAGCATGCCATATTGATTGAAAGCCATATTAACCGGAAAGCAAGCACAACACGCAAGAGAGTAAATAAAAAATTATCAAGCAAAA